GCTATCAGAGGCTGGAATAACGGAGAGATGTTTCAGATTGTCGATATCATACCTTTTGAACTTGTTTAGCCAATTCCACTAAATCCATTGGATCAGAAGTTTTATTTGTCATTCTGGAATTTACTAACTGGACTCCCATTGGACGGTTTGTTGACTCTACCAGAGCAACTGAAATAATGAAGATGATAATTATGTGTGTTAAATAAGCTTATAGATTATTAGTTATTAGGTATTGGGAGCCGACACCAGGCCAACTCTCGGAAGCACTGGCAGAGTCAGAGTGACTGAAAAATTGTTGGAGTCAAGTTCAAAACCAGCAGCAAGCTAATCCTCAGAAGCATCGAAATTTACTTAAGAATTTTACTCATAAACTGAGTACGAATTATATAGTTGATAATCTATAATCAATTAGAAATCTGAGTACGATATGACGTGTCCTATTTGACAACTGTCCGTTTTGACAGTGTATAAAAGTTACATAAACTTCTAATTCAAGATAATTTGGTTTATTTGAACAAGGTGATGAGTTGCAAAGTAATTTTAAAGGGCAAAAAGTATTGGATCGGCCCAGTTTTACAACTGTCAATTGAAAATTACCTTCTGTCAAACTTGGATCTCCGCTCGGACGTTCCATTCTGTCACTGTATCCAAATACAAAATACTTGACCGGAAGCAGGTGCCTGTTTATATATCTTACATGACGTCATAGGGAGTAATTTATCTATGAATTTCTGCCTTAGAACTTTTGGTTTATTTTTGTTTTATACTCCGAAAGTATAAGAAAATCACTTTTGACATTTGAAATTTGATGTAAGAGCTTACCAAAAAACTATCAACAGTTGAGAAATTTATGATTGGTCAATGCCAACAATACTTTCTCCCCTTGTTAGAGTTACGTCCCCTGAATTATTTTGTTATTATTTTATGAAATAATCAGTTTTTGTCAAATTTCTTAAAATGGGGCGTCAATATTTCTGTGAATTTTGTGAAAAATCTTTCGCAGACAACCCATCAAGCAGAAAGAATCATTTGAATGGGACAACACACAAAGCCAATCGTGAAAATTACTATAAAATGTTTCTTGGTAAGTGAAGAAATGGTGTCTGTGAAATGCCAACCAACTTGAGTTTTCATAATTTCTCTCATTAGATTCCCAATTTTTTTTTATCAAAGCACTGGTAATAGCATCCGAATCTTGATCTCTGGAGGGAGGTGTCAATCTAATAACCCCGTATTGTCTTGCACAAAATGAGTCAAGGCCTAGGCCCAGCATATTGATGATCATAATTACAGTGGTTGTAAGTGACTAGTGGTAACAGTCTAGTCTATTCTAAAATTCAAGAGAAATAGGTTGAAATATTTATTTGTTAAATATTTAATAAATCATTTACATTTATATTGACAGATCCAGAAACTAGACTTCAGAATGAAAGAATGAAAAGACCCTGTAAAAACTACTTGAAAGGTAAACACATTCTAGCCTCTTTTTTCAACTTTGGTTGATATGAAAGAAATGAGAATATAATTCTCACAAGAATCAAATGCCCAAATAAAGAAGGTAGAACTCTATTTCAAAATCTAGGAATATATTGTTTCTATAGTTATCTAGGAAAATGCTGTTGCTAAAGTGATATTTTTTCTGATTTTCAGGAATATGCCAGTTTGGAGATAGTTGTCGATTTGGTCACATGACAGAAGAAGGTTTTCGAGCTCTGGAAGCCCAAGGTTAGATATTCCCACATAGGCTGAAGTCTTTTATTGTAAAAAAATCTGTTTTTTTGATCATGTTAGTCTAATAGATACTAAATTATGTGTTCATTGGAATTGCACCATTCATAATAAATTATACTTATACTTAATATCATCTAACTTACTAAGAATCTAAGACTAGCTGTCAGTCAAAATAAAGTCACTGCTGATTGGATGAAAAAGTGGGGTAGGTTCTAATTGGGTATATTAATATTTTTGATTTAAATTACGTCAATATGTATTTTTTCATCATATTTTTTTGCAGTTATGGAAAGAAGAAGGTTGAAAATGGAGGCTGAACAACAACCGAAAATGGTGGAAGAAAAGAAATCAGAAGAATCGGCAAATGAGATAGATTTAACTTTACCAACCTATCCCCTCCCCCCAATTTTACTAAATATCCCGAATCTACCCCCCTCAGTTTTACCCCCACCCCCAGATGTATTTAAACAACTGAAACCTGAAGAATGGGGCTGATCTTTGTTTATGTCAGTGGTTACCTTAATGTAACATTGCCGTCTGAGATGAATTGAAAATTTAGCAACAACTGGCAAATATTTCCCAAGATTACATGGAAATGACGAAACCACTGAGCGTAAAAAATTATACTTTGTTTTCCTTGCCAATAAAGTGATCTTTGAGTGCAATAATTGAGCCCACATCAACTGACTTGACAAGAGACTAGTACTATAAATTATCCTCTTTGTTTTTGTCAATGATGTTAGATGTGATTTGTGAGAGCAATAATTGAGTTAGCATCAACTGCACATTAAGCTTGGTTTAATACTCTGTATGATCCAGCTAATGAAGTCTTGTGTCAGTGGTTACCATAATTTGACGTTGCTATCCGAGGGGAGTTGAAAATGTATAATCCAGCTAAATAAAGTAGTATTGTGACTAAATTTAGACAATTATTTTCTTCTTACTAAAGTTACATCAAAAATGAATTTCATTACTTTGCATTATATGGCACTCTTATAATCCATTTTGCAAAAGGGGAATTTTGTTTCTGTTCCCAGCTCTGACCCTAAAACTTTTATTATGCAGATGGTCATGGTCATATCATGTGCTATGAGAGAAAATAAACCAGGACAGTTGCATTACCCCACTCTTTCCAGACAGATACCAAGTCATTGAAGCGCTAAATAAAAAAACACGACCTGTTCATTATATAGTTTTTAATCATTCCAAAATTTAAATTGTAAATTGATTATTTGATAATGTTCTATATACAAGTTTTTACAATTCAGCATTAACAAAACAAACGATAACAAATAACATAATAAACAGCAAAATAATCCACTGATATGAACGATAAGCATGCTGAAATTTTTGATTGAACTGAAAATATAGGGAAATGCTCGAAATAGCTTGAAGCTTGATTTTGAATATCCAAGCTTAAAGCTCATAATAATCAGCCGACAAAACACATTTTAGCTAAGACTTGCACACTGCACATAGTGCAATTAGAGGCACATAGTCTCATCTTTATAACTGGGGTTTCTCCAGCTCAACCCTACCAGTTCCAATGAAGTGATATTCAGAGGTATAATGGAATTTATGTTATTCCATTTGAACATCATGTTGGAGGAATAAGGTAAGGGCAGATTTGTTGGGCTAGGGTTGCTCTTGAGTTCAGCCCCAGCATATTAAGATTGTTCCTTCAGACTTTCATCCCGGTTTCCTTTTTCATTTCATTTAATAAAAACTTGAAATACATGCATTGTCTCTTTTATCTCATGCTACAATGTCCCTAGTCAAATAACAGAATCTCTGTGTAATTCACTCTTGCAGTAGATAACTAGATAAATAAAAAAAATGCAAGATCTCCAATATTTCCGACACAAGTCCTAAGAAACGGCTTTTACAAAACCAAGTAACAAGATAAGACTATAAATAATAAATCATAAATAAAGGTAATTAATAACATGTCTGCTGCCAGAAACATCTCTAGTTTATATTTTTCTAAATCTTTCACCCTAGAGAATGTTAAATTAAGATGTTTCTTACAGCTAACCCAAGATAAATTGTGGTACAAAATATAAGATATGTATTATATAGAACTAGTGGTGGAGCCAGGTTTACGTCCGAGGGGGGGGCGAAATATCTGAGATTGCCAGAATTTCTAACTTAGGGGCTGGCTCTGCCAGTGTAAAGAACATAATCATCATGTATTGATCAATATGGAAACTGGTCGTCTCAAATAAGAAAAAAGGAAGGGGGGCTTTTCCTTATTCTTTCCCCAGATCACAATGTACAGGACCAGTTCCCTTTCCTGAAGCATGCCCTATGCTATCAATTCAAAAACCTTTTGATGCATGGAGACCCCTAAACTGCATCATGCCTAAAGCTAAATACAAAGTTTTGCTATAGCCTAGACGAGCCTAATGTATAACTACGAAAGATATAAAATAGCGAAACAGAAATTAAATCAAAGATAAATAAAACATGAGCAAATTCTATGAGCAACTACTGATTAAGCATCTTTCTTTATATTGAGCTATAAGTTTCAACAAGAATTGAAATAAAATGAAATGGTGTTTCACATCCTACTTTTCTGCTTATAATTGGATAGACAATGTCATGCAGTGTGCCATGAGGGAAATTTAGGCACAAAAGTGGCAATTGCCTACTCTTTTTCAATTTCCAACTGTCAAGAGATCTTTAATGTGCATAGCTTGAAACACACTGGACCTCGGTTTATCATCCCATCGAAGGACTAGACACTTTTTGCATGCAGCCCTTCCGACCTGCATCATTGACAATGGGAAATTGGATTAAAAATTCCAAGTACTGTTTTGACCAAGTAAGAAAAGTAGAAGATAAAATTCCAGTTTGGAGCATACACAAAAATGTGAATATGAATGCAATAGATAGACTTAATAAATAAACTAAATTTTAAAAAATTATCTAAGTATATGAAATGAAAGTCTGCGTAATATAAAAAAATAAACTTTTGAAATGGAAGCCTTAATGTTAATGAAATAATTCAGCAAGTGTTTTGCGTATATGAAATTGTAAAATGCTGTATAGTGAATTAACATTCTGTGACCCTGAACATCTCTTATAAAGAGAGGTCCGTAATTTACAAATACCACCAAGACAAGTAAAAAATAACGATATGATTCCCTATAAATTAACACACATTAGTTGGATTTGTTCCCATAGAATACTGCTAATTGAGTGTGACAAATGCTGGTGACAATTAAAATTTTGAAATGGAACATAGTCTGAGCTCAAAGAGAGCAAATAACTGTTAGCATTATCATTGATAGAAACAATTTCTCTCATTAGTGATATAGTTATCACAAGAGTTTAATATATTTGGCCAACGTAACATTTTTCCCGAAATTGCGAAAGTTTACAAAAAACATTAACTCAAACATTTAGACGTATTATCAACTCTTAAAAATTTATCGAAAGTTAGGAATTTCGTATTTTTATCATTTATTCCCAATGTTTTGCATTTGTTTTATTTTTTTTAAACCACAAAACTCCTTAAATTATTTACTTAAATATTAGAACTGGACTATTTCAGTCTGTGTTTCTTACTGAAGTTTGACAAGTAGAGATCTTCAGACAACTGAACTATTTCAGTCTGTGTTTCTTACTGAAGTTTGACAAGTAGAGATCTTCAGACAACTGACCTATTTCAGTCTGTATCTCTACTGAAGTTTGACAAGTAGAGATCTTCAGACAACTGACCTATTTCAGCCTGTGTCCTTATTTCAATTTCGCTCTACAATTGATATAGTGAGCACTATTTGAATAATGTTAATTATTTGATCAGATGTGAAGATTAGGGTAAATACAAGAGTCTTTCTATTAAAATGTCTAGTTTATATTTTCTAAGGTTTGCACTCTGCCCGTCTTTAATACTTGTTTCTTCTTATCTTGTCCTTTCTCAAGCATCAGCTACAAACGGAAAAAAAATAACATTTTAAATACTTTATAGCCTGCTTGGTGAATCACAGGGAGGCGTTTCTGATAAATGATCCCTAACCAATATATTTTTATGAGAGACAGCTCACCAAAGTATAATATGGCACCAATGAAGACAAAATTAAAGAAGGCTGCAATAAGAGGTAAATTAATACTATAAGACTGACAATAACTAATGAACTCTTATCTAATCAAGCCAAATGTTGCATAAAAACCAAGAAGTGTGATGTATGACGAAAACTTTTGAACAACTCTGATTGCTAAATGCCGTTGCTATGAAACCATACGTCAAAAAAATTAACTAAGATCGCTAACTGTATATAACATGTACGATGGTGGTGACCCAAAATAGAGATTTTATCGTTCCCATTATCTGCTCCTTAGGTTAGAAAAAGATAAGATCAAAGGCCTTATTCTCAAAAACTAAACTAAGAGAAAATCCAGATTTAAAAAAATTACAGTAATCTGATTGGATAATAATACAAAATTTAAAATCAATTTCAGACGATAGCAACACTAAATCATCTTAAGTAAAGTTTTCGAGGATAAGGTCCACGGACTTTTAGTAGTAAAATATGTGAAATAAACTTACTATCCTCTATTCGTGGAAGACGTTCACTAACACTACTACCTGCTGATCGTGTACGATAACTACTGACACTAGATCGACCAATAGGAGACTGGTTGTGACTTTCTAAAAAGGAATCTAGGTCATCATCATCATCTGATTCTTCTTCACTTGAAAAAAAAACAAATTTAATTTTCACTATTTTACTCTAGATTTCTAAATGTCTTTATTGTACACCATTTAAAATGTTTATGGGGCATTCATTTAATTAACCCTTTTATAACAAATTCAATATGACGTTTTTGATAAAAAATTTTGCATATTGCTCCCTTCAATGTACACATGATTTGTGAGCCTGATATTTATCTTTTTGAAAAATTGGAAACAGACATAAATATTGTTTGGTCATTTCCAGACAGGTGAAATAAAGTCAAAAAGATTGATATGGTACCTATCTAACAACAAGCTATC